TCTATCTATCTATCTATCTATCTATCTATCTATCTATCTATCTATCTATCTATCTATCTAATCTCTATTTCCTATCATCCATCCATCTCTCTCTCTCTCTCTCTCACTCTCACTCTCTCTCTCTCTCTCACTCTCTCTTTCCATCCATCCATCCATCTAATTTTGGGACCATCCATCTCCTCTCACAGAGGGACTCTGTGTGGTCTACAAATAAAACATAAAAACGGTATATAAGATTTTAAAAGCCGATGTTAAAAGTTAATTAAAAAGTGTCAGGGGGGCTTTCAGGATGCTAACCAGCCCCACAGCTGCTGGCTTCTGTGTGAGCCCCAAGCAGGGAGCCACGTTATAATCCCTTTCCAGAAGGCCAGGTGAGTGAGGGTCCGTCTTCCCTCCAACGGGGGGGGGGGGTGAGTATTCCACAGAGTGGGGGCAACAACAGAGAAGGCTCTCATCCGGGGCCTTGCCAGTGGAAATTCTTCAACCGACGGGGTCCGCAGCACCCCTGCCCTGCCTGACCGGGTAGAACAGGCCAATGTGATGGGGCAGGGGGGAAGATGGGTCTGACTGATCCCTATGCTGAGACCCCGTCTTTCCCTCCCCTTTCTTCCCCCTACCTCCCCCATCCATTTTAAATCCAACATCAGTCCCAACTCTCTGTACCTCGGATGAAGGGAGTGCAGCTCACAAGAGCTTCAGCCTTTTAACAGAACTGGAAGAGGGGCTGTCAGACCCCCCTCCTTATTATGAACGGAAAACGATGGAGCCCCCTTAGCCACAGCAGACCCCTGCGCCACCCCCACCCACCACCCTTGGGTACCACACAACCAAGTGCCTCCCCTCGTGTTCCTTGCCCCCCATCTCCTCTAGGGAGACACCGGTAGGCAGGTGTGAAGTTTCCGTGCTAAAATAGTCGGAGCAAAAACGATGCTGCAGATGGACAAAATGTTGAGATTCACGGTTGAAAATCTCCTTCGGGAAGAGGAAGTGGGGAAAGTTCCCCAGAATGTAAACAAGAGAGGGACTTCTGAGATTCTCGAAGGAGCTTAGAACCAGCCGTTCCGCTCCGAGGTTTTGCAACTGGGTGTGTGTGTGTGTCAAATCTAACATTTGCCATTTCCTCCCTCTCTTCCCGAGGCATCACTTCGGAAAACATGCCAGAGGTGAAGCAACTGTTGTCCGAGACTGATCTGGAAAGAGCGGTCAGAAAAGCAGCCCTGGTCATCTACTGGAAATTAAATCCAAAGAAGAAAAAAGAACTGGCTGTTTCAGAACTGTTGGAAAACGTCGGCGAAGTGGACAGCCAGGGTCTGTATCTTTTTTTCCTCGCCCAAACAGCTTCTTCCCTTTAATTTCAGTGTTTCTCAACCTTGGCCACTTTACGATGTGTGGACTTCAACTCCCAGAATTCTCCAGCTAGCAACGCTAGCTGGAGAATTCTGGGAGTTGAAGTCCACACATCGTAAAGTGGCCAAGGTTGAGAAACACTGCGTTTAATTCTTTCTTTGGTTCCGTTTGTTGAGGGCTGAAACACGCTGGCTTAGAGGACCTCGGGGGGCCTGCAAATTAGTGGGGTTCCTGGCCCTGGGGAAGGAGGGGGGGCCTTCCTGGTGAGGGGTGCTCTTCCTTTGTTTTAACCCTTTGTGTCCCACTTCCCCTTCAAACTCTTCACACCCGCCTATGTTTCCGAGAACAGGCCAGGGAGACCAGCGCCCGGGGCCGCTTCCAAAGACCGTCCAGAAGCAAAGAAGGATGCTGGAGAGAATGGTCAGCAGCGAAGGTAGGGAGGGCCACCTGGGTGGGACGGATCCCCCCCCTCTTTAGACCCGGCTGCCACCTTCTGCTCAGGAGGAGCCAAATTAATTCTGGCTTCTTTGGGACAAAGCCAAGGAGCCCCCTGGAATCAAGAGGGAAAGGAATTGGGGTGGGCAGAACAGTGAACAGTGAGCCGCAGAGAAATCACGGCTCCTAAAAAGATAGCTGTGTGTGTGTATGTCTCTGTGTGTGTGTTAGTTATAAATGTTGCTGAAATGAAATAATATGATGTGTGATGTATGATATGATATGATATGGGATGGAATAGGATAGAGTAGAGTAGAGTAGAGTAGAATAGAAATAGAAATAGAAATAGAAATAGAAATATAGAATAGAATAGAATAGAATAGAATAGAATAGAATAGAATAGAATAGAATAGAGAATAGAATAGAAATAGAATAGAATAGAATAGAATAGAATAGAATAGAATATAGAATAGAATAGAAATTGAAGAATAGAATAGAATAGAATAGAATAGAATAGAATAGAATAGAATAGAATGAAATATAGAATAGAATGAAATATAGAATAAAATGGAATGGAATGGAATATAGAATAGAACAGAACAGAGCAGAGCAGAACAGGATAGAATAGAATAGAATAGAATAGAATAGAATAGAATAGAATAGAATAGAATAGAATAGAATTAGAATTAGAATTAGAATTAGAATTAGAATTAGAATTAGAATTTAGAATAGAATATAGAATGGAATGGAACAGAACAGAATAGGAATAGAATAGAATAGGGAATGGAATGGAAAAGAAAAGAAAAGAGGAAAGGAAAGAAAAAGAAAAAAGAAAAGAAAAGACAAAAGAAATGGAGAAAGTTCTAAGAAAGCTCAGGCAATGATTCCATGGCTGCTTTTTTTTTTTTCTGTGCCACCTTTTTGCTTGTTTTGAAGGAAAAAGGCTAAGAGACCCCCCTGCCCTCCAGTGGCAGCTGCCTTGATTATTTGGGGTGACAATTCTGTGCATTTCATTTTCTTAGAAACCAGAATCTTCCAGAGAACTGGTGAATCCTCCAGGGCCAGAGGAGAAAGGCCGGGGGATGCCTTAGGCCTGGGAAAGGGGGAGGAGGGGAGGAGGGGCTGAGCTGAGGGTTGCCCCCACAGGTGGAGTCGCTATCTGCTTGGCAAACCACTTTGTGCCACTCTGGGTGGGAAACCCCCCAGCCTCAGCCAATATATCAGCCACCGGGTGTCATTTTCAACTGCGACAGGCACACAAAGTGTAATAATAAATCAAGGAAACATTTCCCACCCCCCTCTCTCTGTGTTAGCACTTTGTGGTGCCAAGCGAGACTCGGCCGGCACAAAGAAAATCAGCCCGGCAGCCTCTCTGAACCAGGTGGATTCACTTTGTCCATTCGGGCCTCTTGATTTTTACAACAAAAAACTGTGCATCCTTACCAACAAATGCATTCTTTGCCAGAATAAACCATTGTGGTCTTTTTCTCTTGCAAACGAACGCAACCTGCTAAAATGCCGCCTCTTGAACGCTCTCAGCCAAGAATTACATGGCCTTGGACGACTTCGTTGAAATAACCAAGAAGTTCGCCAAGGGATTCATCCCGCCAAGTATGGTCCCTCAGGAGGACGACGAGGACGACGAGCTGACGGGAAAGAGCCCCGAGGACCTCCCCCTCCGACAGAAGGTGAATGGGGGGGGCTTCGATGCCAAATGTGCCCCCTCCCATTTGCTCGGGGAGGGTGGAGGAGAGGGAGAGCAGCCCCCAAAGGAGGGAGAGCGTTGCAAGCGTGGACCAGGTGGGCCACAGAGGGCCTTCATCGGAGAGAGTCTCCAGAAGGCGCAGTTTCAGGTCCTAGGCGGTGGGGGCACCGGGACCGTCCAGCCTCAGGGGTGGAGGCTGTGAGGATGCAAGGGCCCAAGCCAAAGGGGGGGGGGTCTTCTCGAGGGGTCTGTGACGATTTGGCATGGCCAACGCACTATGGGACAACTCGCCACGGTCAATTCACCACAGGCAGTGGTGGGATTCAGCCAGTTTGCACCAGTTCGGCAGAACCAATTAGCTAATTTTTTGTTGCCCAGGCCCAGAATGGACTTCCGGAAGTGGCATCCACACAGAGAACTGGTTGTTCACCTATTTGAATCCCACCACTGACCACGGCCGACGCGCTGCAGGACAACTTACTAGATGGTGGAAGAATAGGATAGGATAGGATAGGATAGAATAGAATAGAATAGAATAGAATAGAATAGAATAGAATAGAATATAGAATGGGAATGAAATAATAGAATAGAATAGAATATAGAATGGGAATGAAATAAAATAGAATAGGATAGAATAGAATAGAATAGAATAGAATAGAATAGAATAGAATAGAATAGAATGGAATGGAATGGAATATAAAATATGGAGTAGAGTGGAGTGGAGTGGAGTGGAGAGAATAGAATAGAATAGAATAGAATAGAATAGAATAGAATAGAATCATAATAGAATAGAGTAGAGTAGAATAGAATAGAATAGAATATGGAATGGAATGGAATGGAATGGAATAGAATAGAATAGAATAGAATAGAATAGAATATGGAATGGAATGGAATGGAATGGAATAGAATAGAATAGAATAGAATAGAATAGAATAGAATAGAATAGAATATGGAATGGGAATGAAATAGAATAGATTATAGAACAGGTGGAAAAGGAGGGACAAAATGAAACGTGAACGACAAAAATTTTAAAAAATATATTTATTTTAAATACTTGAATTGTTAAATTGTCCCACAGAGAGTTGGCTGCAGTGAATTGGCCGTGAAGAGTTGTCCCATTCCGCTTCTCAAGACTTCCCGCCCTCCTCCCCATCCTTATTTATGGAGGGGGGGAAAAAGAACAACTTGCTTAGTTGAAATTCAGCCCATTGGTCACTGAGTTGGGGTTCAGCGTGGTCTTCAGCCCCCGGGCAGCCCTCAGAGATCTGTGTACCAGTTCAGACACACTTCCAACCTTGGCTGGGCATCCGATTAGAGTGGGTGGGCCTTGGGTGCAGCCCCTTGGCGGGTCGACCCAGCTGGGCTCTTTCTGACCTCCTGTGGCTGGCCACTGGGGTAAACAGGTGCAGCTGGGCCCCTCTGTCCACTTGGAGGATACCTTTGCAGTCACTTCCAGCACGTTATGTGTCTGAAGGGACAAAACAGGGCCTTGACAGGTGCTGTTTAGGAACTTGGTTTGTTTCCTGTCCCAGTCAGCCCGCCAGTTTCATCCAAAAGGGCCCTATCACGACAGCTCGGGGGTTGATTTGGTCATCTCTGCTGTTTGGGATGACCCGCGCACGGCCTCTCTTTCCAGATCATCAAGTATCCCCTTCACGCCATCATGGAGATCAAAGAGCACATGATAGAGGTGGCCTCCAAAGCCGGCATGCATTGGCTGTCCACCATCGTTCCCACCCACCAGATCAACGCCCTGGTCTTCTTCTTCATCCTCAGCAACCTGACCATTGACTTCTTTGCCTTCTTCATCCCCCTGGTGGTCTTCTACCTGTCTTTCGTCTCCATGGTGATTTGCACCCTGAAAGTCTTCCAGGATAGCAAAGCGTGGGAGAACTTCCGCACCCTCACCAACCTGCTCCTTCGCTTCGAGCCGGACCTGGATGTCGAAGAGGCGGAGGCGAATTTTGGCTGGAATCACCTGGAGCCCTATTTCCACTTCCTGCTCTCGGTCCTCTTCGTCATCTTCTCCTTCCCGATAGCCAGCAAGGAATGGATGCCCTGCTCCGAGCTGGCCACCGTTTCCGGTTTCTTCATGGTGACAAGTTATATGAGCTTGGGCACCAGCGTGGAGCACTACACACGAAGGGCCATGTTGACCGAGGTGACTGCGGGGGCCCTCTGCCTACTGCAGGGGGCCCCCGACCACTGGGGTTACGTGAAGCTCTTGGGTAAAACGTTTTACAGCCTTCCGCTCGGCAGTCTTCTGGTGCTGAACCTCAGCGTCCCTTGCCTCTTGTACCTGTACCTGTTTTACCTTTTCTATTGCATGGCCCGGCTGAAGAACTTTAAGGGCGTCTATTGCTACTTGATTCCTTACTTGGTCTGCTTCATGTGGTACGAACTCTTCATTGTGATTCTTCAGGAATCCACCGGCCTTGGTCTCCTTCGGGCCTCGGTGGGCTACTTTTTATTCCTGTTTGCGCTTCCGGTGTTAATGTTGGGCGTTGCGCTGATGTGTCTTTTCCACTTCCTACGATGGCTGGTCACGTTGGAGCTGACCAAGATTGCGGTCACCCTTCTCCTCTGCGGGGTCCCTTTGCTCTTCCACTTGTGCACGCGGGCCCGAGTCTCGGCCATCGACATGGTGAAGTCCCTTACCAAGAGTTCAATTGTGAAGCTTATTCTGGTGTGGCTGTCTGCCATTGTGCTCTTCTGCTGGTTTTACGTCTATCGCTCGGAGGGGATGAAGGTGTACAACTCCACGTTGACGTGGAATCAGTACGGGTTTCTCTGTGGGCCCCGGGCTTGGAAGGAAAGCAACATGGCGCGAACTCAAATTTTATGCAGTCATCTGGAAGGCCACCGGGTGACCTGGACAGGGCGATTCAAGTACGTCCGAGTGACCGGCATTGAGAACAGCGCCGAGTCCGCCATCAATATGCTTCCCTTTTTTCTCGGGGACTGGCTGAGATGCTTGTACGGAGAGACGTATCCCGACTGCGACCCCAGAAACGCCACCCTGGAGGAGGAAGAACTGTGCCGGCTGAAGTACTTGAGCAAGCACAACTGCCACATCAAGAGGTTTGACCGGTATAAATTTGAAATAACGGTAGGCATGCCCCTGAATCGTGGGAGCGGCAACGGGACCCTTGAGGACGACGACATAACCAAGGACATTGTGCTGAAGGCCAGCAGCGAGTTCAAGTACGTGTTGCTGAACCTGAGACAGGGCAGCGTGGTTGAATTCAGCACCATCCTGGAGGGCCGTCTGGGGAGCAAATGGCCGGTCTTTGAGCTGAAGGCCCTCTCCTGCCTCAACTGCCCGTCAAAGCTCTCCCCGGCAGGCCGGCACGTCAAAGTGGAGCACGACTGGCGGAACACCGTTCAGACAGCGTTCAGATTCGTCTTCAATTTTTTGTTCTCCCCTTTTCTGTACATTGCCTATTAAGCTCCGGGTGTAACGCCCGCTCCGACACGCTCTTTTGGCCGTCACAATCTTGATTTAACGGCATTTAGCACGGTACGTCATGCGGTTCTAATCTTTTTCTGCCTTGCACGATTATAGTGAGAAAAACGCCCAGCTGCGTGTTGAAAGGGTTTTTCTAAAGAACTAACCTATCAAAGCAGAGATGCCAAAAAAAACCCCCACACAACTTTGCCTTCTATGTATACTCAGTAGTTAACATGAACTTTATTCCGAATTCTCAGCTGTAACAATCACAATAATGTCAAAACTGAGGGTGCGTGATGATGACGACGCCTGGGCACACGTGCTCCAATTTACGACTTGGGCCAGGCGCCATGAGACAAGCACGTTGATGTGGACATGAGATTTTCATCTCTCTCTTTGCTCTCCCCAAGGATTGCAGAGAACCGTACTCTAGGGCAGGGGTCAACCTTGGCCCTTTTATGACTTGTGGAGTTCAACTCCCAGAATTCTTCAGCATTGCTGGCTGAGGAATTCTGGGAGTTGAAGTCCACAAGCCATAAAAGGGCCAAGTTTGAAGACCCCTGCTCTAGAAGGAATAAATTCTCTGCCGATAATTAAATTCTGCAAACAGACTTCAGCTAATTCAACGGTACGACGGGGTGTTTTTTCTGAGGGAGGGGGCCCTCATTTCAGTCCCCATTTTTTTTTCCTCCCGAAGGAAGGAGGAAAGGAAATGGTTTAAGCGATAAGCATGATTGCTTAACTCTGGAAACGGTACTGAGCATCCGGAGATGAATCTGTCCTTCTGATCACAAGCATAAAATACGGATTAAAAAAATATGACACATTTTGCCGGGCTTTTTTTATACCCACTTTCCTCATATGCATGTAGTATGTTAACATACCCAATGCCGCATCACGTTTGGAATAGCCACTGAAGATTGTGTAGCACGCCTCCCCATACTCTGGGGTCAAGTAAATTGTCCTCTGTTCTGGGTTAACGAGTCCTTCTCGTTTTCTCCTTCTTTTATTAGCCTAGTTTAAATAAAGAGAGAGCCTTGCCCAACTATTCACCATTATTCAATTATTCACCAAAGTAAGGTTCTACATTTAGGCAAGAAAAACCAAATGTACAGGTGTAGTATAGGAGGTACCTTGCTCAATAGTAGTAACTGTGAGAGGGATCTCGGAGTCCTAGTGGATAATCACCTAAATATGAGCCAGCCGTGTGCTGCAACTGCCAAAAAAGCCAACACAGTGCTGGGCTGCATTAACAGAGGGATAGAATCAAGATCACGTGAAGTGTTAATACCACTTTACAAGGCCTTGGTAAGGCCACACTTGGAATACGGCATCCAGTTTTGGTCACCACGATGTAAAAAAGATGTTGAGACTCTGGAAAGAGTGCAGAGAAGAGCAACAAAGATGATTAGGGGACTGGAGGCTAAAACATACAGGGAACGGTTGCTGGAATTGGGGATGTCTAGTTTAATGAAGAGAAGGACGAGGGAGGACATGATAGCAGTGTTCCAATATCTCAGGGGCTGCCCCAAAGAAGAGGGAGTCAAGCTATTCTCCAAAGCGCCTGAAGGCAGGACAAGAAGCAACGGATGGAAACTAACCAAAGAGAGAAGTAACCTAGAACTAAGGAGAAACTTCCTGACAGTTAGAACAATTAACCAGTGGAACAACCTGCCTCCAGAAGCGGTGAATGCTCCAACACTGGAAGTTTTTAAGAAGAGATTGAACAAGAATTTGTCTGAAATGGGATAGGATTTCCTGCCTGAGCAGGGGGTTGGACTAGATGACCTCCCAGATCCCTTCCAACTTTATTACTATTATTATTCCTAATTATTAGGGTTTCTCTGAGATTGGGAGGACAGCAAATCCAAGAAATTTGCAGAAGGCCACCAACATCCCAAGCCAACTCTGGCTCGTTGAACTGAGGATACCAATTATATTTTAAGAGTTTCCCTGTTTTAAGTTTTTTTTCTTCTGAAGGCCAGCTGGGGCAACGGGATGAAGCCAGGTGCCATATCTTTACCCTAGCATCATGTTGGGCTTATGACATCTGATCACAAGCGCCATGTTGAACAGCCTTCCTTTGGATGGAATGGCTTTCCAGCCACCCTGTGAACGCCCAAGAGCCTTTCAGAAACGGGAATAAAATGATTAGTAATGAAACAGACGCCAGCCACCTGGTCATAAGGAGAATTTATTCTGAGATGACTGTGTGGCGGTTGCGATGAATTAAAATATAGAGTGGTCGCCAAAGGACTGGGTGGTGGGTCACGGAATAATCAATCCATCTCAACACATCTTATTGCTGCAGACCTTCATTGGGGAGTAAGTTCCATTGATCTGCCAGGTGCTTACTTCCCAATAAAGGCCCTTCTCTCGTCAGTCAAGTAGCTGTATCGGTCACGTGTCCAAAGCCGTGTCTCTCCAGAGGAACCCTAATCCACTTCCGTGTTCATTTTGTCTTGAAAGATGTACAGATTGTTTGTGGCCGCAATAGCAATGATGTTTTCCGCGGGATGCCAGGCTGTGTGCAAAATCTTTTTGGTGAAGTCCAGGCTGTCGGCGCAGATGTCGTCTTTCCGCCTCTTGCCCCCGGCGCACACGCGGCGAGGCTTCAGTATCGCCCGGGGTTTGCTGTTCTCGCGGGAGGCCTCCAGAGTCACGTCGCGCTTCGTGTTTCGGTCAAACATTCGGAAAAAGTTGTTGTAGGCCCCGGTCATGATGACACTGCAGAAGAAAGAAGAGCTGTGAGATTAGTAGCTGGCCAGGAAGGAGGGGAAATTCCCCACCCACACCCCCATGTGGGAGGGCTGCCAACATGATGTTTGCATTAACGCTTCGATTGGCGACATCTGCAGGTGGAAAATGCTGACTCTACGAGGTCATAATGAAGAAGAGAGAGGACCGTCGCATTAAGTTGTCCTCCTGCATACTGCCTTCCTGGGTTGCAACTATGAAAGGGGGGGGAGATGAAGTCCCCTCCCCAGAATGAACATGGAAGCTGCACTTTGCTGGCCTGGTTGTGCAGCACCCCTTCCTCCTAGGACCCAGCCCCCACGCAGCAAAGAAAGCAGGCTTTGATGTCACCACCATGCCTGGGAACGGAGGCCTACTTTGAAGGGTGAGATAGTCAAGGACAGGTTGAGGGGTCCCACTGCTTGAAGGTTGGGACATGGTAGGCGATTTGTTGCCTTCGTCTCATCGCCAGCCCCAGGAAAGTTAGTTTCAGGCCAGCTTTTCTTCTTTTAATGGAGTATTTTCTTTCTTCTTCCAAGTCCTCTTTTTTGCTGTGGAGGGTAACCCTGCACGTGTTCTTAGAGGGACTGTCAATCATTCATCTGCCACTTGGCAGCTGTCCTTTACCCAGACGGTAACTCAGGTCCAGCAGCTTTTCAGAGGTGGCCAGTAGGAATCAAGCAAAGACTCTTCCTGGTTGGCCAAAGAACAGCTGGCAAGTGGCAGATGAGTGATTGACAGTCCCTCCAAGACGTTAAATGTGCCATCTATACAGGCATTACAGGGCCCTGGTGGCACACAGTGGTTAGAATGCGGTATTGCAGGCTGACTCTGTCCACTGCCAACAGCTCGATCCTGACCAGTTCAAGGTTGACTCAGCCTTCCATCCTCTCAAGGTCAGTCAAATGAGGACCCAGATTGTTGGGGGGGCAACAGGCTGACTCTGTAAGCCGCTTAGAGAGGGCTGTAAAACACTGAAGCAATATATAAGTCTAAGTACTATCGCTATTACCTGTCGGACCCATTCCACGCACATTCAAATTTGTCAAAGATGCAGTCGTTTTCGTAGAGAGAACACAACTTGCTTCTAAGGTAATCATGAACCTGTTGGGTGCAGAAAAGAAGAAGGCCATTATCCGAGGTTTATTTATCCGTAGCCCTCACAGCCACGGTTCCCAACATGCCAATCCAAATATCATCGCAATATCTTCGCTTGCATGTACGGACAATGTTGAGCAGGGATTCTATTTCAGATGGTGAGTGTTTTGTTTTGTTTTTTTAAAAAAATATTGTTCTTATTTATTTCAATTGATGGGCCACCTAATTCCAGTGGACTCTGTTCTAAGATAAGTTCTGTTCTAAGGGTAAACCATCAATGACCCTTAATTGTTCATCGATTTCTGATTGGGTACCTGTGTTTCTAATTATCAAACACCGCCTTCTGAAATCTCGTTTTAGGGGTTGATTCAAGATTGTGTTCATTAGTTCAGCTAACCACTTACTGTACTTTGCTGGGTGTTCCAACCACTTTGCATTCACACACACACACCCCGATTACTGAGAAGGACAAATTATACGGCATCTCTGGAACCCACTGATCAACTGAGACTCAGGAGCCCCAATGCCAGACATGGTCCCTGCTGGTCAGGCCAATGACTGGTCCAACATGTCATGGTTCCAACAGATGAAACTCTTCAAAGAACACAAAAGAATTTGTGTTGCTAAGTGAGAAATTTGTTAAGCGAGCTTTCTCCCATTTTACGACTTTCCTTGCTAAAAAGACGGAGAAATACCTGATATATTTCTATAGGCTTTGTTTCCATATTCAGATCCCAAACTTTGACAGTGAGGTAATCCCTCGCTAGCAAGTAGCGCCCACTGTGGCTGAATTTTACATCGGACACCGAAGAAATAATTTCTGAGAAAAAGGAACGGCTTCCAGGATCTTCCGGTTCTTCAAAAACTGGGGAAGGAATGAAAGAAGGACAGGGAGGGAGAGAGAAGAGAAGGAAGGACGGAGAGAAGAAAAAGGGACGGGAGGAAGGAAGAAGGGAAGGCAGGGAGGGAGGGAAGGAGGAAGGGGAGGGAGGGAGGAAGAAAGGAAGGAAGGAAAAAGAAAGAAAGAAAGAAAAAGAAAGAAAGAAAGAAAGAAAAAGAAAGAAGAATTCAGGATAAGTATGTCACATTTCTACACAGCTGCTTCTTGTACGACATTTAACATTTCTCCTTTTGTGAAATATCTGCAACTTTCCACTTGCAATGCATATAAAAGGAAGCCTCGCCACAAATTCATCCTTTCCAGGTCTTGTGGCATGGAGTCCGTCTCTTGCCAAAAGTCCCTCAGCTCAAAAACAGAGGCCCTGTTATCAAATCGGACAAACCACTCCCGTCATTCTACAAAGTATGTGTCTTGGCCACAGAGACGAACTAAAACTGGATATTTGCTGAAGAGCTGCCCTTGCAAGCATCATTTTCTGTTCAAACAAAGCTAAGCCTAGTTAGACGTGCAATAGTGGCGAATCTCTGTAGCTCGGGTGTAGGATGAGGCTGAGAGCTCGTTCTCCGAGCTTGTGGATTGGTTTCCGAGCATTCCGTTACCAGGCTAGGTAACATCTTCACCTAAACACGGCTGAAGATGCTACCCAGCCTGGTAACGAAACGTTCGGAAACCAACCCGCCAGCTCGGAGAATGAACCTCATCTAGACATCTCTGACGCTCATAATAATTACAAATCTGCCCGCCCCAGTCTTGCAGCTGAGATGGTGCCGAAGCCCCGGTACCCTCATCCTTCTCAAGTCAACTCAAGGACCCTTTGGATGCCCCCCTCCAAAAAAAGTCTCGCCGCGCACTGCTGCCCCACTGAGAAGCGGGGCTCCGTAACCTACGCTTGAAATGCTTGTCGCAGAGCGCCGAGGCCCGCATGTCACACAGCCGTAGGGACCCCTTGCTGCTGCTGTAGACAAAAAGGTTGCAGTGGTGGGGGTGGAACTCAGAGGCAGTGATGACTTCGGTCAAGTCCTCCATGTTGTCGGGTTTTATGTCCACAATGTCTGCGTGGGAAGGCGGGTTAAGGAAAATCACCGTCGGGTGCCAGCAACCAGAACGTCTCGTAAACAAGCTGGAGCTTTATTGCTAGGTACCTGTACTACAAGAATCTTGCCAGACTGACTGCATCCTCTCGGGAATGGTCAGATAAGGCTTTAGGGATTCTGTAGCGATCGCTGCTCTCTGCAGCGCAAGGACTCCAAACTCAGCCCTCTCTTAACACCTTCCCTCCAGTCCAGCTGGCTATTCCACCACAATCGTAGACTTTCGTTGTCTAGAGCAGAGGTGGGGAACGATGGCCCCTTTGATGACTTGTGGACTTCAATTCCCAGAATTGCTGAGCCAACACGGCTGGCTCAGGAATTCTGGGAGTTGAAGTCCACAAGTCATAAAAGGGCCATCGTTCCCCACCCCTGCTGGCTCAGGGATTCTGGGAGTTGAAGTCCACAAGTCACCAAAAGGCCCTTGTTCCACACCCCTGGTCTACAGCCATTCATTTTTATAACAATATTTTCGTATGTGGGTCACGGAGGGGAGAGTAATGGGCACGTTCCTCTCTCTTAGTGTGTCTGGGAGAAGAAAGAGTAACTCATGTCTACGCAAGAGGGAATCAGGTGTTCCAGGGAAAGGGATAGCCTCCGTGAGAGAGACAGAGGGATCTGAAAGGGCAGAAGACAAGGCAGCTAAACAAGGAAAGGCCTTGTTGTAAACTCGGTGTGCATGAGAAAAAAGAGATAGTAGTTTAGGGGGGAAGTAGGACTCTTTATGTGTATAACGGAGAAACAAAGAATGCTTGCACGGGACACCGGCATTTGTTTTGCTTCTCAGATGCACGAAATCTACGGCCGATCCCACCTTTTCCCAGGATCAGAGTAAGCCATCCCAAGGATACTAAAGCTCCGGTCGGTAATGGCCAAATGCCAAAGGTTAATCCTGAGATCGTCGGCAGACATGTAAGTCTCACAATCGCTGTTCACCGAAATGGAGTTGACGTGGTAGGTGTGGCCATTGGCAAAAACTTTCCTGGGGCTGACTTCCACCATCAAGTCAGTGGGCTTCAGTACAGGCACCTGCGCGAATAAATACACTCATGCATTAACTTCAAAGGTGTAGGTTTCTTCTCTGAGGGGCGTGCCGTACAGGTGGTCCTCGACTTACAACAAGTTCATTTAGTGACCGTCCGAAGTTACAACGGCACTGAAAAAAACTGACTTATGGCCATTTTCGACCTTACAACGGTGGCAGCATCCCCAGGGTCACGGGATCCAAATTCAGACGCTTGGCAACTGACTCATGTTTGTGACGGTTGCAGTGTCCCCCCCCTGGGGTCACGTGATCCCCTTTTGCAACCTTCTGACAGAGTCCATGGGGGGGAGCCAGATTCGCTGAACAACCGGGTTACTAATTGAACAACTGCAGTGATTTCCTTAACAAAGGTGGCAAGAAAAGTCGTCAGATGGGAGAAAACTCGCTTAACAAATTTCTCACTTAGCAACACAAATTCTGGGCTCAGTGGTGGTCGTAAGTTGAGGACTACCGGCACAACGTTTTTTGCAAAACAAAACACCCCGATATTTGAAAAACAAACATGTAGTCTAGCTTGACAACACACATTTTAAAAGATAAGTCCCAGGCCTGATCACGTGGGTTTTTATAATGCCAGTATTGTTTTCTTTTACGCTTTTCCCCACTGAGCGTGACACCCTCGTGATGAATTCTTTCAGTGGCCAGGTGGAATTATGCCAGCGAATTGTGAAGTTCTCAGCAGTGGTGGGATTCAGATATGGGAACAATCGGTTCTCTGTGTGGATGCAGCTTCTGGAAGTCCATTCTGGGCCTGGGCAACAAAAAATTAGCTACCGGTTCTGCTGAACGTGCGAACTGGCTGAATTCCACCAGGAAGGAAGGAAGGAAGGAACGGAGGGAGAGAGGGAGGGAGGGAAGGAAGGAAGGAAGGAAGGAAGGAAGGAGTGGTGGGATTCAAATATATGAACAACCGGTTCTCTGTGTGGATGCCGCTTCCGGAAGTCCATTCTGGGCCTGGGCAACAAAAAATTAGCTAACAGTTCTGCCGAACTGGTGCGAACTGGCTGAATCCCACCACAGGAAGGAAGGAAGGAAGGAAGGAAGGAAGGANGGCTGAATCCCACCACTGGTTCTCTTGCTTCATAATAGGTAGTAGCCAAGGACTACATGTCCCAGGAGACATTGCGGGAAGAGGGTAAACTGAGAGGAAAAATGGACAAAGAGACCAGCTGGGCACCTGGGAGACCACTGACTCCAAAATTATTACATAGTAAAGAGCTTTGATGTCTTCAGGAAAGAATGCAGCCATCGGTGGAGAAGGAGAGATCCTGGTGTACCACCAAAACCCAATCAAAGGAGTCCAAGATAGCCGTCTTCCAGTATCTCAGGGGCTGCCCCAAAGAAGAGGGAGTCAAGCTATTCTCCAAAGCGCCTGAAGGCAGGACCAGAAGCAACGGATGGAAACTCATCAAGGAGAGAAGCAACCTAGAACTAAGGAGAAACTTCCTGACAGTTAGAACAATTAACCAGTGGAACAACCTGCCTCCAGAAGCGGTGAATTCTCCAACACTGGAAGTTTTTAAGAAGAGACTGGACAGCCATTTGCCAAAATGGTATAGGGTTTCCTGCCTGAGCAGGAGGTTGGACTAGATGACCTCCAAGGTCCCTTCCAACTTTATCATTATTATTATTATTAAGGCTGAGGTCTTCACAAGGGGAACAGATAGTAGAGGTATTCCTCGATGTACAACAGTTCATTTAGCGACCGTTCAAAGTTACAATGGCACTGAAAAAAATGACTGTTTTTCCCAGTTACAACCTCTGTGGCATCCCCAGGATCATGTGATCAACATTCAGACACTGGGCAACTGGTTGATACTTAAATTTCTGCTTAGTTCTAGGTTGCTTCTCTCCTTGGTTAGTTTCCATCCGTTGCTTCTTGTCCTGCCTTCAGGCGCTTTGGAAAATAGCTTGACTGCCTCTTCTTTGGGGCAGCCCCTGAGATGTTGGAACACTGCTATCCTGTCCCCTCTAGTCTTTCTCTTCATTAAACTAGACATACCCAATTCCAGCAACCGTTCTTCATATGTTTTAGCTATTTACAACGGATAGATTTTTTTTTTTTTTGCTAAATTTGATGCCACCGACTTTGTCGGTGAATTGAATTTGCACTACCAAACTCTCACTTCACTTCCACTTCAGTTCTGCTTTGGATCGGGTCAGCCATCTGCAGCAGGAGTTAAGATCACATTCCTGGGCCCCAGTACAGAGTTACATCCATGCAATAAGATTAACAAGTAAATATGCGAACTAGAATGAATAACTAAGACTCAAATCCTGTTCAGAGGCTATTGCACTTCTGCTAAAAGGCTCCCTCTGAATTGAAACCGTACAAGAAAGATACGTCTGTGGAGATTCTCCGTCGTCCAGGTCAGGGTTGTCCCAAAGGTGCTTTTTCAAGGAAGCAACGGGACTTTCTTGTTTTTCTTTGAAGATGTTTCGCTTCTCATCCAAGAAGCTTCTTCAGCTCTGACTGGGTGGTGCGGGAATGGAAGGATTTATACTCCTTGCAGACAGCTGGTCATTTGCATTCTTTTAGAGAGTCGTTGAGGCCACTTGGAGGTCTACCTGTGTCCTCAGTTGTCCCAAAGGGGCTTTTTCAAGAGGCAACTAGACTTTCTTGTTTTTCTTTGAAGACGTTTCGCTTCTCATCCCAGAAGTTTCTTCAGCTCTGCCTGGATGGTGGGGAACGGAAGGATTTATACTCCTTGCAGAAAACTGGTCATTTGCATTCTTTTAGAGAGTCGTTGAGGCCACTTGGAGGTTTGTCTGTGTCCTCATCCCCAACAGCCTGTGCCTGTCTCCAACACTGAAGGGACCCAGGGCAGAAAAAAACATCCTGCAGCCAAGAAGGCTCCACACCCATTTGCACCACTCGGGTGACCCTGAGGATGCAGGTGAACCTCCAAGTGGCCTCAACGTCTCTTTTAAAAGAATGCAAATGACCAGCTCTCTGCAAGGAGTATAAATCCTTCCATTACCCATCATTCAGTCAGAATCTTAAGAAGCTTCTTGGATGAGAAGCGAAACGTCTTCAAAGAAAAAACAAAAAAGTCCAGTGGCCTCCTGAAAAAAACACCTTTGGGAACATACATGCAACAGGTATTTTAAACAAAAGAATGATAATCTAAACAAGGGGGGGAGCGGAGAAATTCCAAGCACGCACCTGAAGTGAGGTCACCGTAGAAAGTTCCTTTAGTTTTCCTTCCTCATCTTTTAAATTATATCCCTCGGGCTTCTTATCTCGCTCGGTAATCTTCCACAGTTTAATAGTTTTATCTTCAAACAAACCAAAAAGCCACCATAGTTATTATTAAAAGGAAGCACATTCATCTTTTAGTGTCCTCGCTTGTTTTTAAACCTAACACAGTCCTCGACTTAACGACAGTTGGTTTATGGGCGATTCAAAGTTACAACGGCCCTGGGAAAAGTTGAAACTTCAACTCGCCCCCCGTTTTGTGACCATTTTTCACACTTAACGACCGTTGCAGCATCCCCGGGGTCACGTGACCAAAAATCGGATGCTTGGCAACTGACTCGTATTTATGACGGTCGCACTGTCCCAGGGTTACGTCATCCCCTTTGGCGACTTTCTGACAGGCAAAGTCAATGGGGAAAGGCAGATTCATTTAACGGCCGTGTGACTTACAGAACTACTGCAGTGATTCACTTAATGACGATGGCAAGGAAGGCCGTAAAGTGAGGCAAAATTCACTTAACAACTGTCCAAAACCTGAAATCTACCCGCCAGACTCTCGTCAGATGATAACTCTACGGTTTTACCGTTGGTCGAGAGAAGAGCGTGGGCTGCGTTCTGCTGGGGCAACCATTTTATCTTGTTTATTTTTTCCTCTATTTCCAAACTCTTCAGATAGTCAAATTCAGGCTCGTGGCTCTGGAAGGTGCTGTAAACATTGTACTCGCCTTGGCAGTACGGCGCGTTTTTGCTCTGCAAACAAGAAAAAAAAACACGACTGATTTGCATATCTGGCAAGAATTGTGGGAAAGAAACGGGAAACTTACTTTAGCTACGTCTTATAAGGAAAATCTCCATTATAAGATGTTTTACAGATTTATTTATTTATTTATTTTTTAAATTTATATCCCGCCCTTCTCCTTGCGGACTCAGGGCGGCTAACAACCGGATAAAATACAAAAATATCACACTACAGATTAAAACGTTAATTAAAAGGGAAATATTAGTAATTGGTCTAATTAAAATTATAATTAAAATTATAATTAAAACCCCCTCTAAAAGTTTCCCCTAGGCCAGTCCCGCAAGATGGCATTTCCCACCTACGAGGTTAGCCAAAATGGGCCCAAATCTTTCACCTATATGTTGGAAATGTAAAATAGCAATAGGGACCTATTACCACATGTGGTGGGAATGTCCTAAAGCCTGTGATTATTGGGAATAGGATAAGAAAATGGCTGAAAGAAATATTAATGTTGGAGATAGAGCTAAAACCTGAACTCTTTTTACTGGGCATAACCACAGAGAAATATAACAAGGGGATAGTCTACTTGATGTTGCACATTTTGACCGCTGCTAGACTGGCGTTTGCGCCAAAACGGAAGAACAAAGAAACTCCCACAGATGAAGAGAGACTGTATAAAATACTATCTTGTGCTGAAATGGACGGGCTCACGATGGAACTGAAAGATAAAAAGTGGATCAGAATATTTTGAAATCTGGGATAAATTCTACCATTGGTGGGAATCGGGGAGGACTGTTGGGATTATAGATTAGCGACAAGATGGAAATATACATAATCTTAGGTTAGCAACTAGACAAAATGTATTAAATATTGTATAAAAAATTGATATGTATTTACAGAGATAAAGAATTGAACGTAAGAAGAGAAATAATTTGATAGAAATGTGCAAACTGGAAGGTTACGTCATGTCCAGTGTTTTCTCTTTTTTTAATTGTATTATAAATAACTTTTTAAATAAAAACACACACACACACGACAATCAGGGCTTATCTCTGCAGCTGGCGCTTCAGGTCAAGGGGAACAGGCCCGGTGATGCTGCCCGCCCCAATGCCAGGCTCTGAGCTGGTCTACTAACATTAGGGCAACTTTCAGGAGTGCCCCCGTGCATCGTCCGGCTGAGGTGGTATGCCCAGACAGAGTGGCCGACTCCCAGACTTTCCCACAAGGGTTGAAACAGCGGATGCTGGTTAGTGAGGCAGTTGCTGTGGGAAAACCTTTCCGAATTTTAGATTACATCCAACGGCAAACTGCTCAGTGAGGGACAGAAAGGGTTCCTGAAAAATACACCACCAGGCTCAGGAGCTGATTCGAAAATAGCAAAATTGCAACTAGGAAAGAAACCTGTTCACATGAATGTCTACGGAGGTTCTCCGTCATCCGGGTCGTGGCTGTCCCAAAGGTGCTTTTTCTGGAGGCAACTGGACTTCCTGGTTTTTCTCTGAAGGCGTTTCGCTTCTCCTCCATTTGCATCCTTTTTAGAGAGTCGTTGAGGCCACCTGGAGGCTTATCTGCATCCGCGGGGTCACCTGAGTGGTGCAAATGGGTGTGGAGCCTTCTTGGAGCTGCTGAAAGGACTCTTTTGTAGAAGACGGGAGGTGGGTGATGTCGTGTCCCTCCCCCTCTGTTGAGAGAGGGCTGTTCAAATAGGCCACGGGTGTCAAACTGGAGCGTGTCACCTGACGTATTGCAACGTTTTTTGTCTTTGCGGAGACGGGGTGGGTGTGCCCTGTGCGTGACGTATCAGGCCCGCAAGCCACCAGTTTGACACTCCTAAAATAGGCTGTTCATCCACCTCCAGTCTACAACACAAATCCTTTCAGCGGTTCCAAGAAGGCTCCACACCCTTTTGCACCACTCAGGTGACCCTGAGGACACAGACAAACCTCCAAGTGGCCTCAACGACCCTCTAAAAGGAGGCAAATGACCAGTTTTTTGCAAGGAGTATAAATCCTTGCATTCCCTCACCATCCGGTCAGAGCTGAGGAAGCTTCTGGGATGAGAAGCGAAACGTCTTCAAAGAGAAACAAAGGAAGTCCAGTTGCCTCTTGAGAAAAGCACCTTTGGGACCGTCCACGTGAACGTGGAATTAAAAGGTACCCTAATACGGAGCGTGTCCTTTCAAATGCAATCCATGCTTTTATTTCTAGCTCCGCGGATATATTAAAAACAAAAGTCCCATTTCACTGGTGATAGAAGAGACGATAGATTTTGGATTGGGAGGTGGGGGGGGGCAAGAGGGAGGAAGAATATTAGGCGGAAATACTCATCTGCTCAGGCGGAGTCTATGAAATGGGGCAGTGATGGCGGACAGATGGTATCTATTTATGACTGTGGCTGGAAGGAATTGTCCAAGCTGACACGCACGTCTGAGACTTCCCACTGCATATCTAGTTAGCGAAGGTTCCCCCACGGATTGCACACTGAGCACTGCAATGCAGCTTTTGGGCTCTCCCTTACACCATCAAACACACCACTTCCGTGTGGCATGAGCAGAGCGCAAACACTTCCTTGCCCTTTCGTGTACCTGCAGGACTCTTCCGCATGGACCCTGCCTTCCCAGCTGATCCTGCACCTTCCTCTACCTCTCATCTAAGGGACGTTTTCAGGCTGATAAGCATAGCCAAGGACAGCCTGGCCCCGGGAATGTTGTGGTTTTGGAAGGAATTCCCTATGTGTTCTCGTGCTGGACTGTAGGCACAAGGGCCTGCTGACACAGTTTTACAGAGGCATTATCAAATCTGTCCTTTGCACCTCCATAACTGTCTGGTTTGGCACTGCAACCAAATAGGGCCGGGACAGACTTCAACGGATACTTAGGACTGCAGAAAAAAAGCAATTGCAACCAGCCTGCCTTCCACGGAGGACCTGTCTATTGTGCGGGTCAGAGAGAGGGCTGAGAAAATATCTACAGGCCCCTCACATTTTGGACACAAACGGTTTCAGCTTCTCCCTTCTGGATGCTGCTAGAGGGCATTGCATGCCAAAACAACTAGACACAAAGATAGTTTCTGTCCCCCGTGCCATCACTCTGCTGAACGCCTAATTCCCACAGCACTGTCTCGTGCCTAAAGATATTTACCCACGTAGTAGGGCTGTATTGCTATTATCCTTCTCATCTTCTCATCTTTCCTACTGCCTTCTCCTATTGGTATCTTATGATTTATCCCGTTGTTTGTATCTGATGATTAATGATTTTAACTCATGATTTATGACCTATCACCTTGTTGCTTGTAGGTACACTGAGAGCTTCTGCACCGGAGACAAAATCATTGTGTGGGTCCATTCATAAAGAATTCTATTCTATTCTGTTCTGTTCTGTTCTGTTCTTCTATATTCATTTTCTCCTCTCCTCTCCTCTCCTCTCCTCTTCCCTTCCATTTTCTATGTTCTATATTCTATATTCTATATTCTATATTCTATATTCTATATTCTATATTCTATATTCTACATTCTACATTCTACATTCTACATTCTATATTCTATAGAATAGACCAAAGTGTCTCCAAGCTACATGCTTCCAGGTTTTGCTCCAGAACACCAAGATCTGGTAAAGGAGAATATTTGTAACTCAGTGTTGAAATGAGGGGTCCTTGGTGCTCCATGAGTTTACTTGTTTTCTTGAAGACATTTCATGACCCACACTAGGTGACATCATCAGTGCTAAAGGAGGAGGAGGAGGACGACTGTGGGGTCCTTAGTGTTCTCTGAGCTTGGTGCTTTTCTTGCAGACGTTCCATGACCCAAACTGGGTAACATCACCAGTAGCAACCAAGCTCCGAGAGCACCAAGGCCCTCTCACCAAGACCTTGGCTTCCAATCTGCGTCAATGGATCAACACCCGGTCCCTTATCCCACCCTTGTTGTGTTCTGTGCCGAACGCAAATCTGCTGCTTTGGAGAGCCCTCCCCAACGTCCCTACCTCTGCCTCTGCCTTTCTAGAGGTTATTCGTGCGCTCCCTGGCGAGTCATTCTTCTCCTGCCTTCTGTGGGGGAGCCATTCCTCTAGCTCAGTGGTTCTCAACCTTTTTAATGCCGCGACCCCAACCGGTCGTAAGTCGAGGACTAAAC